TATATTCCCTCTGCAGGAGCACTCTAGACACAGATGCTTTAGTTGCTCTATTTCTGTTTACCTTCTCTGTGGAACTCTACTCCCATAAGTGCTCATTATATTCATCCCAGAAAGTAAACAGACCTGAAATCAAGGAGAACGTTCCCTGGAGGAGAGCAGTTTGTAATGAAAGCAATAATAAAGACATTCATCCATCACTGTGAAGTTTGTACTATAGTTTGTACTATGATAATGTATAGCTTTCTTAATTTTCCTTTCTCATTTTAAAATTCTAATAGAATCTTTAATTTTTCTGAAATTGAAAACATTTTAATGTTTAAAGTTAATTTGTACGCACTTGATTCAAAATACTAACAGTGAAAATAAATTTGGCATTTACACCAACATGAAAGGATAGTCCTGCTGTTCAATGCAAACAACTTTGATGCCTTTGTAGTTCAGTCAGTAAACACACAAAAATAGGACAGCTTTGTTCTCATTTGCATTTTTCCTTGAATCCTTCAGGAACAGGAAAATATTTCATTTACCGAGGTGTAATATGAGACCCAGCACCAGTATCAGCTTTTAAGCGTGAGGGGAACGGTCCCCACTGATGTGCATAATGCAGTTCTAAGAAGACCCTGGCTGCACCTGCTGTCCACGCAAAACCAGGCTCAGCTGCTGACATTTCACACACCTCAAGTGCTTGCGGGATACCCTGGAACCTTTGCACATTCTGTTCCTTCTAGGTGGAATTGTCTCTGTCCTTCTGGAAATCAGCTGGTTCCCTGTTAGCATCATGTCTAGCCACACATCCTCTGTGCTGTCTTTGCTCAGGCTATCTCCTACTAACCCGAGAAGTCTTATTTGTCAGTCTTCTTTTTGGCTTCTGTTTCTATTACAGAGTAGATGCTCAATAAGCATTTTTTTATGTATTAGTCATTTTTATTACTTTTTTAGAGAACTCTGTTCAGATCTACAGCCAATTTTTAAATTTTTACTTTTGTATCTTTGAGAATTTCATACATGAGTATTGTCTTGCATTATTTCCATCTCTCCTAGTCCATATATATATATATATGATGCACTAAGTCTGTTTAGTGGCTCTTGTGTGTACTTGTGTTTAGGGCTGTCCATTTGTGAGTAGATAACCTCCCAGGGATCTAGTCCCTGGAGAAAACTGGTTCTTCCTTCCTCAGCATCCATTGATTGCCTATAACTCTTCACCTTGAACTTGAACCCCATGACATTCCCCTATCCACCAACTGATTTTGTCATTATACAGATCTCGTTAGACTACCATTCTATGGAGATTTCATTGGTACAGCTTCTCTATGATGTCTAGAATGTATTAACTAGCAGCAGGTGTCTTGTCCCTTTGGCTTGTACTTTCTTTCTGTCCCCTCTTCCACAATGTTCCCTGAGCCTTTAGCTGTGTCACTAGGGCTGGGCACCTCACAGTCACTTATGCATTTGACCAATTATGGAATTTTGTAATAGTCTCCATCTATCAACAAACATTTAAAAAATATTTTATTATTTTTATTTTATGTGTATTAGTGTACTGCCTGCATGTATGTAAGTTCATGTATGTCATGCAACACTCTTGGAGGTCAGAAGGCGTCCAATCCCCTGGAACTGGAGTTACAAACTGTTGTTAGCCGACATGTGGGTGCGGGGAATCAAACCTGGGTCCTCTGCAAGAGCAACCAGAGCTCTTAATTGCTGAGTTATCTCTCCAGCCCCATACACTTAATTTCTTAAATGATAACATTCCTTAAATGAAAAGAAGTGTGTGTGTGTGTGTGTGTGTGTGTGTGTGTGTGTACAGCACTGGTTATGTGATAGAAGAGTGAAGCTATAGATATCCTTCCAGAATTTATTCATAACCACCTACAAACAAAATTGGCCAACATCAGACTCTGAAAGCAAACTACCTGGACTGAATCCTAGTTTTTCCATTTACCTTAGGAAAATTGCTTAACTTCTATGTGCACTTATTTCCTTAGCATTAAATAAGGGCAGCAATTGTACGTAGCTCAAAAGGTTGTTGAGAGCTGATTATGCCAAATATTTAGAGCACTACTTGGCATAACTTACTAAATTTCAGGAAGTAAAAATAGCAAGATGAATTAGATGTGATTTCCTTTTCTGAAGAGTTCACAGTTTTTAAGGGAAGATAGAGATGCAAAGAAAAGACAACCCATAATACCTGCAGAGTGTGAACAAGAAACAGTTGCCTCCTGAAGCCTGGGGTGAGGAACTCCAGTGTTAGGCTACGTGTGCTGTAGCACCTTAGCTGATGCTTGAAGGATGCATGGAATTGGCTTTTGAGTTAGGTGGAGATGGGCATTTTAGAAAGATATAAGCAATGACAAAATAAATGACAAGCTATGACTATGTGAAAGCACAAGGGGGCATTTGGGGGCATCAGCTACTGAAGTGTGACCTTGACATAAGGTCTGAGGTGAAAGGCAGTGGAGAGGGAAGCCAAAACACACCATAGGTACTGAAGACTGACGATTCACCTCCTCCTGCCTAACTCTAACTGCCTTCTCCCCTGACTTCCCAACCAGAAAATCTACTGGGATAAGGTCGCAATGCAGACACTGTGGTGTTTGGTGGGAAGAGCTTTTCTTCTAGAATGAAAGCATGAAGTCTTGCAGGGGAGAAGCTTCTCTGGCTTTTTGGGTTTTCCTGTCTGAAATTGGAGCTTACAGCTTTAAGTCAGGAAAAGGAGGCTGTCTGTTAAGGGTGGTACAGTGGGTACAGATCCAAGGAATAAGATTCTTTCACAGCTTGCTGAACAGCCACACTGCCTCAATCACTGCCTTCTGATTCCTGTTTTTAGCAGCTGTTAGGGCTGGTCAGGCTTTTCTGTACTTCAGGCCAACTGTGTATCTGTAACTGACATGAAGCCTGATCATTACACCACTTGACGTGTTATCAGGGTCTGAGGAGCCCTGAGGGTGCACAGGCAGTTTCTGTGGTATTAAATTGTCAGGTTCTTTGCACGTTTTGTTTCATTTCTCTTGGTGGAGCTGGAAATGGAACCCAAGGCCCCAGGCATGCCGGGTAAGTGGTGTGTCTCTCAGCTACAACCTCAGCCCTGCAATGAAGCTTAATGAAATAATTTCAACCGTAGTACTTTAAATGGAGTACACAGGCTGAGGACAGAGCATAAGAGCATTTTTCAGTATACTGTAAGCAAAATCAGTTTTAAGCAAAGATTCAGAAACAATTTCAGAATGTAAAATGGATTCTAGTCGACATTTTAAGCCTCAAACTATTCTGATGACTGTAAATTCTACAAATGTTTTTCAAGATTTATACTGTCTTGATAAGAAATGTCTTGGAAAAACTTGCTTGGGCTGGAGAGATAGCTCAGTGGTTAAGAGCACTGGCTGCTCTTGCAGAAGACCTGGGTTTGGTTCCCAGCACCCACATGGCAGCTAACTATCATCCATAAATCCAGTCCAGGGGGTCAACACCCTCTTCTGACATCCTTGGGGACTGCATGACATGCACTTACACACATGCAGGTAATACATTCACACACATAAAATTAAAAAAATTCTTTAAAAAGAGAAACTTGCTTATTTTTCCAGATAGTATTAATTATTGTAGTATCTTGTGTTGTCCCCAGGAGTGCAGTAAGGAGTCTAGAAATTATTGGTGAGAATATCCAGGATTGGTGGAACACATGGTTGAAAATGCATTATTCCAGCTTGATGTGTGGTGTATGCCTTTAGTCCCAGAATTCTGGAGGCAAAGGTAAGTGGATCTCTATGAGATCAAGGCCAGCCTGGTCTATAGGCAAGCTGGGGCTACAGGAAGACCCTGTTTCAAAACATCAAATATATTGGTATTGTCAGTGTTTGAGAATCTTTTGATAACTCAATCTATTAATACTAATTAAAGTATCCATTTCTACTTCAAAGTTGTAAAGAAGTCTTCCTGTGGAGCCTGGGAGAAGGGTAATTAAACTTAGTAAGGAGATGATGTAACTTAAGACACAATGAAATAAGTCAGATCTCAAATATCTAACTACATTTTCTTGACTAGGATGCTTGAAAATTTCACATTAGTGATGTGGACAGTCTATTATAAATAATAAAAGAAGGCATCCTGTCTAAATTAAGTACCTTAAGTGGGAGCATCCATCCATCAATAATAGATAGATGGGTGAGAATAATTGATCTTTCAAAATTACAAAATTGCTAACTAGCCACATTAGGATTTGAGCCTAGTTCTGTGTGTCTGCAAAACTGAACTTTCACCTTGTACGTTACAGTGCATCCACTCCTGCCCTGAGCCACCTGTGCCTCCATTCACACAGCTGTCAGATTGTGACAAGCTATCTGTGAGCCGAGGGGCGAATTTCTGCAAGCTCTCCAGGAGAAGTAGTCCCTGTGAACTCCAGCATGCTGTATGACTTGCTGAGGATCTTCCTAACTCTTGGGTGGTGAGAGGTCCTTTACTGACATAATAAACTATTCAATACTTTAAGCAAGGTGCATATCACTGTACAAACCACCAAGATGGGATGAAAAATTAGGCTTTATAATCATTGAAATTAAGCAATATATAATCAAATCAGGAATATTTTAGAGCTTATTGATTACCAGGAACCTGATAATTACCAGGAACCTGATAATTTTAGTTATCACGAAGTGGTCCAGAGGACCACACTTGCTGGAGAAAATTTGAGAACAGTGGAGAAACTGGATTGCTCATGTTAAAACGAGCTTTTCCTGCATGCAAACACAGGTTCTGAATAAAACAGGGACTACAGGAGAGTAGCTGTGACAGACCATTTCCTGGTGCTACTTGGAGCAATCAGTCCAGATCTCCAAGTTACAGTCCACAGATAACATGGCTTGAGTCTCATGGCCATGGGTTTAGAAGCAGGAGCTATGCTTTACAAAATGAGGAATGCCCAGTGGGGGAGGGGGCTCATAGTTAGACATTTCACTTTGCTCCTTTGGCTTTCTTTCAGCATCTCCACTCCTGACACTCACCTCTGCCTGCCAGATGGGGTTCACAGTGTTCCCTATGATCGTGGATCTCCTCTCCTGTCCATGGTGAGGGAGGGCGGGAAAGATGCTGTGTTTCCCAGGCTGAATGGAAATCTTCAGATAAGGGTCTGGGTTGAAAAACATCCCTTTCTTCAATCCCATGGCCTGGAAATCTATAAAAATAAAGGATATTTTAAGGATGTTTTAATAAAGTTAAATACTACATCAGAACCTATGCAAGAAAAATCTAAAACATGGAAAAATTTTACAATGTTTAGACTATTTTCCACCTCATTACAAACATGAAGCTTGTGTGTATCTACAGAGCCCACTATATGGAACAAATCCCCTGGCATATATTAAATTGTGTTTTAGAAAGAAATCCATATCATGTGTCAGTCCAACTGGCACTGTGATCACTATTTTCATGAGAGGACCATTGGCCCTTACCAGACTGGATTTCTGGTGCTCTACAAGCAGGTTTGGATAAAGGGAATATATGAGAGTTTGAGGGTCACCCAGAGTGATAGAAACAGGGAAGAAATTTTCAAACTGGAAATTTGGTAGGTCCAACACAAAATTGTTCTGCAAAGTAGGAACATAAGAAAAGCAAGGGCAGTAGTTTTACGATAAATGCGGATTTCATTGAGTAAAGGTAAATAGACTTAGGAGAAACAAAGAAAGGAGGGGAATGAAAGAGCGAAGAACGATGGAGGAAAGGAAAAGAAAGTATGACTTCCCGGGAGCTAGTGAGGAGAGCTTTGAGAAGCCATGGTGCCAGGAAGAGGAAGACCTTGAAAATGGAACTGATTATATGAAATTTCATGTTGTAGAGAGAAGGTTGTGGTGGAGTGTGGAGATCATGCACAGATGTGATAATGACTTGTAGTTGTTTCAAGATAATTTAAAATCACTCTGTACTCATTAGAAATATATTTATGATGCAAAGAATATAGTTTCTGATATTTTTCTATTATTGAAGTATTTTCCAAATGAAATACTCATATTTTATGCAAGTAAAGAAAACAGCGTAGATACACTGAATCAGTGATTCTTATCCCTGGTAGAAGATGAGGTGTTTTATAACTGCTTACTGAGGAAATATCATCAACATTTTCATACTCATTACTAAAAGTTATTTTGAGCTAACAGAAGCTTAGCTCCATAATGAAGTTATATCACCACAAGAGGAAAAAGCAGAAAGTAAAACATAGCAGAAGTCTTCAAAACTCAGGCCATCTTCCCAAGAGCATGTGCAGAAAATAGTTAACACACAGTCTGTGACAAATCGCTTTGGGAAGGGCTGGATCTTTGCTAGTGTAAGGGGCTCTAGGTTTCAGGATGGTTCCCACCTCCCAAAAACTGATGATTTGTTTTGCTTAGACTGTATGAATTGTGTCTTTTCTCATGGACACTACTTTCTTTCTAGGAGTCTGAGCGTTTGGAACATGCTAAGCAGAAGGCACCTGTACAACCTGCATACACCTCAACCTGCACACTCCTCTAGTAGAACGGTGGGCACTGGGTCTTCAAGAAACTTTTTAGGAAGACAGCATTTCATACACATTGTTATAAGCAACGCTGCCCTTCTATTTCCACAATGGTTACTTTTGAAAATAGTTTTACAAAAATTGAGATTTGTTCAGGCATTTGATCATTTCCTTTCATTTCAATAATAAAATGATCATTGGTTTAGAAGTTTTCTTCTATTACTGTGTCCATTCCACTTGTTCTGATTTCTTATTGAGACACTGGGTGTGTGCTATCTGGATCCCTGTCTTCACTCCAGGAGACACTCAGAGCAGCCTGCTGCCACTGATTCCCTCCCCTTCTGAGTTCTGACTATGCTCTGTGTCACTTCCTAAAGCTCACTTTTACTTCTGTGATTGTCTTTTTAGAATTCAAGTATCTCTTTGACTGTGGTAGACAGAATAAGAGTCTCACATTGATGTTTATGTCCTAATCTAGATACCTGTGAAAATATTACTTATGTAGTCAAATAAGAACTTTCAGGTATGATTATGTTCCTTAACTTGAAACAGGGAGATTGTCCTGAATACCCAGTCGAGGCTAATGCAATCACAAGCATCCTTGCAAAAAGGGAACAGAAGGGGATGGAGAGATGGCTCAGCAGTTAAGAACATTGGCTTGTTCTTTCAGAAGACCTGGGTTCGAGTCCCAGCACCCACATGGCAGCTAACAACTGTCTGTAACTCTAGTTTCAGGGGATTCAATGGCTTCTTCTGTCCTCCATGGGCATTGCACAACATGGGCGCACTTACCTACATGCAGGCAATACACGCATACACATATTAAAATTTTTTTAAAAAAGGGAACAGAAATGGCAAAGTGAAGAAAAAGTAAACTGATGATGGAAGCAGAGATGAAGGTGCTATGGCCATGACCCAGGAGTGCTGGAAGCTTCTCGGAGCTGGAAAGGTAAAAAGATTGTGCAGCCAAGCCGCCAAAGCTTTGTTGGCATCTTGGAATTTATTCCTCCAAGGATCCATTCTGGGGGCTGGAGAGATGGCTCAGGGATTAAGAGCATTGGCTGCTCTTGCAGAGGGCCCAGGTTTGAATCCCAGCACCCACATGGCAGCTAGCAACTATCTGTAACTCCAGTTTCACGGGATCCAACACTCTCTTCCGATATCCACAGGCACTGCTCAACAAGGCTGAATTTACTTACATACAGGCAATACACTCACATAGAAAAAATAAGAACAGTAAATAAAATATTCATTCTGGACCTCTGACCTTCCTTGACTTCCAGAATAGTAAGAAACTTTTGTGTTGCTTTAAGCTACCAAGTTTTTAGTAATTTGTTATAGCAGCAGTAGGAGACAATGGTGTTTTTGAGACAGGGTCTCCTTGTAGCCCCAGCTGGCCTGGAACTGGCTATGTAGACCAGGCTAGCCTTGAACTCACAAAGATCTGCCTCTGTCTCCTAAGTGCTGGGCACCATCATGCCCAGCCACATCTTTCTATCTTATTTTTGAACTTCGAAGAATTTCTTTATCAACTTTTTTCATCTTTGACCTCTTAATTAATATGTCCTCTAAATTCCTGTATTTTATTAAGCGTACAAATGAGTGATAAATGCTTTCTCTTTAGTATAGTCAGTCAATAAGAATACATCTTTTTATTTGAATATATGTTCTTCAATTGTTCTTACAGCTTTTGTCTACATATCCTTTAAGTCATGGATTTTATCATTTATCCATGAAAAGGTCTTGTAGACTTAGTGTGTGTCCATCTTCCCTTTGATTTTCAGAAGGTTATTGTTGCAATTCTATTCATACTATTTTATAGAAAGAGCTGGCTTATGTCCATCTAGTCAGGTTTCTTATTTTTGGTGGGCCTTCCTTAGTTATAGATTAGGTGAGCCTTTTTCTTTTGCTTTCCTTTAAGACGTAGTTTATTTTGTATTTAATTTTTGTTACATTTACTTATATATTTTATTTATGTTGTACACATGTCTGTCATAGAGCAACAGTATTGGCACATGTGTGGATGTCATAGGAAAACTTGTAGAAGTTGGTTTTCTCCTTCTGCTATGTGGGTCTCTGGGGTTGAACTCAGCTTGTCAGACTTGGCTGCAAGCATATTTATGAGCCATCTCATAGCCTAGTATTTATTTTTATCATAGACATGGTGAATTAAATACACATAGGCACATCTTAATACTGAGTATTATGTATCTGTGACTTTGCCAGGCTTCCTCCTTGTTAGAAATGAATCAAGGGTCTCAAGGAAATAATCACACAATCCAAAATACTTTGGCAAGGAAAAGGGTTTCACTTCTGCAGAAGGGTATGTAGCCACGCCAAATCAAGCTGGCATGCACACTGGCAAAGGTCCTGCTGGGCTTTTATTCCTACACAAGGGGTCCTGTGCCTCACTTTGAGTGGTCAGAGCTCAGCCTCACATTCCTATGAGGTTGGCTAATTCAAACTGGTGCAGTTGATATGCAAAATGCAGCTGTTGAGAGCGGGATGCACCTGGAGCTCAATCTTTATCTTTTTCATTGATTAAAAAAATTTAAGTTGTGTTAGGTTTAAAATATTTTATTTATTGTTTTTATTCCACGTGTATGAGTGCATTGCCTGCATGTTGATAGGTGCATCCATGTTGTTCAATGCCTGGGGAGGTCAGAAGCAGGTGTTGGATCTCCTGGAACTGGAGTTATGGATGGTTGTTAACTGCCAAGTGGGTGCTGGGAATTGGATCCGGGTCCTCTGCAAGAGCGGCCAGCGCTCTTAACCAATGAGCCATTTTTCCAAAGGCCTCAATCTTTAACCTTAGAAAATAGTGTAGGGAATTTTGCCAGGTGGTGCTTTTCAAATTTCTTTACAGATGGACCCCTTTGTCTCATTTAACCCTTTGATAGAAAAGACTACATTTCCTTTACATTCCCCACACTTCTTTCACTGACAATTTTATAACCTCAGTCACATTTCGTTTCTGGGAATTGTCGTCTTGATATAACAGAACGATATGTGCAGGACAATAGATTTAACTTGGATCACCTTATTAACAGGATCTGAGCTACACTAGGGTACCCCGAGAGAATTTCCTTGCTCTGGTAGGTCTGTGTGCCTGTGTCTGCAGGACAGAGACAAGTTGGAGACCGAGGAAGAGAGATTCTGTCCTTTCCCTAGCCACAATGCTCTTGGACTTCAGGATGCTCCTGGAGATTTGGTTCCAGAAACCTACTCTTGATTTCTGGCAAATAGTTGTGTGGTGCTCCTAGTTTCTAATTTTTTGGCCTTTCTACTTAGTTCTTGACCTAGAACTCTCTATGTAGTCCAGGCTGGCTTCGAACTAACAGAGATCCACCTGCCTCTACCTCTTGAGTGCTGGGATTAAAGGTGTGCACCACCAGGCCCAGTCTCTATTGGTAGTTTCTGGAACATTTCAACGAAAATGTGAGAATGGCAAATTAGCTTTTGTCCTGGTAAAACAAAATTGGGTTTTCCCTTTTTTTCTACAACTTAAACAGACACATACTAGTGCTAAGAATGCACCTTAGACATGCATTTGCTTTATTGGACACACTTCAACCAAAAAATCCCACAGGTGATAGCCCAACTCCCAAAGAGGGTCACGTGCCGTCTGGTCTGATTGCTGATGCTCCATTGGTTCAACAAGCCAAGCTCATAGTTTTCTAGTTGTGCTCAAGGGGATCTTTGGGTTTTGTGCCCAAAGATCTTCTCTTAAAGATCACGTAGTTAAAATAAATTGTGTGAGGTCCTGAGCTTTGCCAAAGCAACTCGTGCTTCTTTTAAATCTTTAGCGATGAAATAATTTCAGGTTTACAAAAGAGTTCCATAGATAACACAAAGATTTTCTACAATTCCTTTACCTAGTTCTTCCCATTATTAACATTCTATGTATACTATAGAATCATGGTAGATTCATGAATACTAAACAATTAATAGTTTTTAAAAAGATATTTTATTTATTAATTTTTTTTTATGTGAGTGCATTTTCTGCATGTGTGTAAGTGCACCCATATAGTGTCCATGGAAGTCAGAATAGGGCATCAGATCACCTAGAAATGGAGTTATGGATGTTGTTAGCTGCCATGTGAGTGCTGGGAATAGAGCCTGGAGTCTTCCCCAAGAGCAGTCAGTGCTCCTCACTGCTCAGCCGTTGCTCCAACCCCATTAGCTTGTTCTTTGTTTTGTGTATTAGTTTCCTCTGAATTGAAAACTTTCTTCTGGACAGAGAAGGCAAGGCAATGAGACTCAGGAAGTAAACAACCTTGAAGATTCATCACTAGCTGAAACTTACAAAATCCACAAGGCCTCTCCCCTAGGTACAGGAAGCAGTAGACAGCTGCCTGGAGAAGACTGGCTCCCGACTCCTCCAGCCCTCTGCTCATTCTGTGGACAGCTCCAAGGATGCTGCTTTCTTGAGATGTCGTCCATGCTGAGCTGGGCTTTTCAGTGACGCAGCTGCCTTTGAGTCATCCAAGCTCTTTTAAGTAACCCTAATAAACTCATTCATTCACTAAGTTAGACTTCAATAGAGTTGTTATTTCTGTTCTCAGTCTGGGGTGAGTCGAAGTTTGCTCACATTTCCGCAGGAAGGCTCACACAACACTCAACTATTAAAGTACTGGCTAAGTTAACAGACTTACTTTGGATCCCGATGGTTTTTTTCCCTGAGTATGCTGCTTTAACCAGCTTTGCTCTGCTCTTCACTGGGTTGGCTGGAAGTTTAGGATTGGATAGCTGCTTTCCTCTGGGCTTTCTTCCACCTGCACTTGTAAACGGTCAATGCTGCTCTTAAGAGCGTGCTTCCTTTCCCATCATCTTAAACACTTTCACATTTACTACCTACTGAATTCTCTGCTCTCCTCCTTTGGTCAAGGGGAATTGAGCAGATATTTTTTCTTTCCACTTCACCTTCACAGACGAAGAAAATGAGGCACAGAGGGGCTGAGTAACTTACAGCTTGTAGGTTAGCGTCAGTTAGAAGTGGTTGACATTTGTGTTCACTGCACAAGATTTCTAGGTGAGTAACACCTACCTGAGAGGGAAAAGCTGATCAGCCTCCGGCTTCCTTGCCCCTGGACAGTCTCCTCAGAGCCAATACCTTTAAAAATCTGTAAGAAAGGAAACAGGAAACAATAAAAGAAGCACTGAAATAGATGTGCTCCAACAGAAATGCTTTATCACAGATATTTCTTCACAAATACAGGGAAGGAAGAGAACAGTACTGTGATTTCATTGGACAAAGATTAGTGAAAATAAGCTTCTAATAACTAATGTCTTTCACAGTAATAGAGGGGTTCTTAAAGAGTGGGAGTGAGAAGTATTTTCCAGAGAAATTGATATCAACGGACTTACAACAACATCAAAGTCCTGTGTCACCACTTAAATAAATAACGGCTTTTCAGATTTAAAAGTATTTAATAAAGCTCCTAATGCAGAAAAATGGCAGGTCAATAGATATTTAGTGTTGTAATTATAATGTGCTTCCATTTAGCAAAGTGATTTACTGATGATGATGATGATGATGATGATGATGATGATGATGATGATTTAGGGATTTCCAGGAAACTGCTCACCAAAAAGGCACATTAATAAGCTACTCCAAGGTCTTTCTTATTTAATTAATTGTCTTCCTGGTAAATTTCAGAGAGTGCTTGCTCATTGGTTATCCACAGTTTAGCAGCCATTTGTGAATCAGGTTGCTGGATACTTGCTCAGCAGCCTCACTGGCTCAGAAGAACCAAGCAGATTTTTCCTTCCACTCTCTTCTAAGATTTTATTCAGCGATGATTTCGAATATTTACCACAAGGCAGAGTATCTCTTGCTAGTTATGGTTGAATGTGTTAAAGGTTTGCAGAAAAAAATCCAGATATCAAGCAAATCCACTTTTTAAAAAGATACTTTTTATTTAAAAAGGGAAGGTGTAAATTTCAATGTTCTGAAATTCAAAGCCTTTGCAGATTGTGTGAATTTTTCCTTCTGTCTCTCAATATTCATGATGCTGTAAGAGTTGTGAAAAGAAATTCTCACTAACCTGGAGGACTATGACTGGGCATCATTAGGGCTAACAGCATCAGGTCAAAGAAAATACGTGGAGGTGTTTTAGATCATCTCCTCCTTCTGAAGCAAGAGCTCACACTGAGCCCAGGAGCTTGGCTTCAACTTGGGAAGAAATCTGAACAGTCTTGGCCTTGAGGTGCATCCCAGAAAGGGTGGTGGCTCAGCAGGGGGTGGAATGAGGCTTGGCATCATTGAGATAAGGGTCTCAAACTCATTCACAAAACTGTCTTTTAGAGTTTCATTTGATAACGACGACGACGAATTAGTCAGGAATGGCTGAACTTAGAGACTCAGGATATGCTGGTCCCAAGGCTTTGACACTCCTCACCACGCAATGCCCATTTCTTCCTCGGGTTTGCGCTGTCCATCAGTTGGATGGCACAGAGAAATGATCAAAAAACAACTGAGCTACAACCTCTTGCTGGATCACATTTTAAACTCTGATACTGGCCATTGCTCATAGCCATAATCAAAGCTCTAAAATTCCTTTGTGCTATGGGCTTTTCTTCTTTTTAAAACCTCTGCCTGGGCCTAGGTAATGGGAGACTTGGGCTGGCTGACCATACCCTTCATAGCAATGTCCTTGCCTGACAAGGACAGTTCCAGACAGCTACTAATGTCTGGTTACTACCAGTTTAAAAAATGTCCATGTCCTGATTCTTCTTAGAATATAAATGAATAAATCATCTTTTAAAAAATATGAATTCCTGGAAGGAACAAGAGCTATTGTTTTAACAAAACTTGGTAGGATCATAAGTATAAAATGTATAGATACAAACTCCAGAATATCTAGAACTATATTTTATACATATTATAGAGCTTACTTTAAAAATATCTTGGCTGTTGCCTGAGTTTTGCCATACATTTTAATGTTGAGTGTTGAATTATTTTTTACATACAGCCTATTTTTTCCTTATATGGGAAAAAGATAACATGCCGTATGAAGTGTCTTTTTAAATTGAAATGCTAACAAACTGTCTAGTTACCTTTCTCCCTATAAAACCACAAACAATACTAACAGAATCTCTAGGTTACATATTCAAAATCAAGATTAAAAATTAAAAAAATATGTTTTATGTCCAATTGAGAAAGCTCTACTATGTACAAGCTAATCAATAGCAGTGGTGCTTCTTGGTGCCTGGAGGCTGGAATATGAACTTCATGTTGGATTTTTCTAATTTCCAATTCATGAATAAAGATCATATTGTGTTAATTATATTACAGAAAACTTTAAAAATATTTGCTTATTTATTTGCATGTGCGTGTGTGTGTGTGTGCACACTTGCTTGTGCACCGGCACCCTTGGAATCCCATCCCATAGAGGGTGCGGGATCCCCTGGATCTGTAGTTATAGGCATTTGTGAGCTGCTCAATGTGGGTGCTAGGAGCCGAACCCAGGTCCTCTGCAGGATCAGCAAGAGCTCTTAACAACTGTGCCATCTCTTTAGACCCTCACAGAAAGCTTTGTGGTTTTTTGAGACAGGGTCTTATTGTGTAGCCATGACTGACCAGGAACTCACTATGTAGACCAGGCTGGCCTAGAACTTGCAGAGATCCACCAGTGTCTGCCTCCTGAGTGCTGAGATTGTTTTATGTGTATGAGTGTACTGTAAGACCCTATTGCTGAAGACGCTACATACATGAGCTATAGAACAAACAAGGAGAAATCAAGCTGGTGCTGACTTCAGAGCCTCATCTCCATTGGCCAGCAGTCATGAAGGAAAGAGCTATGAATGTTACTAGAAGGAAAAAAAAATCATCAATCTTACCCAGCTGTGAATCAATCCTGTGAAATGTAGCAACAACTGCCCTGGCAAGATAGGCTCACTATTGCAATAGTGGCACAAATATTATAGGAGTAACCAACCACTCTTTAATTGCCTATAAAGCCTACTTCCCTAGGATGAAGCTCATACCTGACATTGATATCAGGTTTAGGAACCTGAGGCAAGATAGGTCACAAAATAAAGGGGAGAACCCAATACTAATTTTCTACTAAATAGCTATTGTATTAAACTGATTCTTAATGACTTATATTCAGATTAGTGAATCTTTTAGCTCTCACTGGAAGAGTTTTCTTATGCAACAGATGGTGATTAACACAGAAACATACAACAGGCTGATATGCAGAGAACAAGAGGTTGCAGAGTTCTTATCCCTGAATAGGACACCTATATCAAACTTCTGCCTTCCAACACTCAGGGATCATCGTGGAAGAGGGGACAGAAAGATCGTAATAGCCAGAGGTAGTGGATATCCCCAAGGAAACAGTTATTCAGACATCTGGTCAGTTATTCATATCAACTCACAGTAATGGTGACAGTATGCACAAATCCCATGCAAGCTCAAACCAGAAAAACACCCAGCACAGACATGAGGAAAGGAATAAAAAGCTCCAACCCCACCTAAGGAAATTGTTGCAAGCAGATGGCTGCTGGGAGGGATAGAGGCAGTCTCTTTCAAGTACAGGACTCTTGATAGGTTAACCAGGCCCCAGTAACACAGATCAGACTCTATAGGCCTTATATATATATTAGAGTACATTAAATTGGGTGGAGGGCAATAAGGGGAGGTACAGATAGGGGAGGGGACCTAAGCACCATCAAATTTTGTGTATGAAGGTGGCTAAAATGCAATAAAAATAAAAGTAAAATATTGTCACTTTCTACAGAGAACCATAGTTCAGAATAAAGACAAAAGAAATGCTAAAATTAAACATGTTTAGAAAAACTACAAGATACTTGGTCATGGATTTGGAATCGGTACTCAAATCATACAAGCAGTAAGGACAATTGTGTGCTAATACCTGTTTTGACTGATCTTGCTGTTGGATTTGTTTACAGTACCAGTACTGGGAACTTCTTCATGCCACTGGTTCTCACTGCTTACCTACACTTCCTACTTTTCTGTAAAGCCATTTCTATTATTGAAAAGTTAGCAAATCTCCTCAGTTTTCTCCTTAATCATACTGACAATCTTACTGCATGCAACACCAAGCAAACTGATGTCTAAGTAATTTGCATCAAGAATAAGTTTGAAAATTGTTCCTAGTCAATATTTAAGAATTCTTGGTCTAAAACAGGGATAGCATCTCTTTACTTTTCTTTGTTTTCCACCGTTGTCACCACATTGATTCCATAGTGGGTACATTAGTTTATAGTCCCACAGTGAATAAGTGTTCCCTTTCCCACATCCTCACCTACATTTGTTGGTCATTTTGTTGTTGTTTTGTTTTTTTCTGACTGGGGTGAAATAGAATCTCAAAGTAGTTTTAATTTGCATTTCCTTGATGGCTAAGGTTGTTGGATATGCTTTAGAATATTTATTACCCACCTGTATGTCTTCTCTTTAAGAACTCTCAAAATTTCAATTCCATAGGTCATTTTTAATTGAGTTGTTTGTTTGTTATTTAGTTTTTTGAGCTTGTGTATGCTACACATCAATCTTTTATAAGATAGATGTACAGCTGCCAAAGATTTTTCTCCTCATTCTTTGGGTTCTCTCTCCATTGGATTAACTGTTTGCTTTGCTGTAAGAAGATTTTTAATTTCATGAGTTCCATTTGACAGTTATTGGCCTATATGAGTGATTAGAGTCCTATTCAGAAAGTCCTTACAAATGTCTACATCTTGGAGTGTTTTTACTAATTTTTACAATAGCAGTTTAAGAGTTGCAGGTCTTACATTAAGGTCTCTGATAACATTTGGAGTTGATTTCTGTGAATTCTTCTACATGCAGATATCTAGTTTTCCAGCACCATTTGTTAGAATGTATTTTTTCTCCAATGAGTATTTTCAGCATCTTTGTTAAAAGTTAGGTGGCTGTAGCTCTGTAGCTATGAGGATTTGTATCTGGATTTGCTGTTTTGTTCAATTGACCTACATGATTGTTTTTGTATAAGTACCATGCTGATTTTGTTATTATGGCTCTGAAAAGTAACTGGAAACTAAGTATGCTGACACTTCCATCTATGTTATCATCATCATTTTCTCAAGAGTGCTTTGCCTATATGTCTTTTGTGTTTCCAAATGAATTTTTGAGATTTTTTTT